TTAGTAAGTTAAAAATCTAAGAAAGAGAAAAATTATCACTTAGGCAGGTTGCTTCTGGGTCATACTTTAGTATAAAATTTTGGCTAAGCTAAGATTTTACCACAATAATGAGACAGATCGAGAGAATTTTTATTTGGACAGACATGAAGTACTTAATAGTTAGTTAGTAGGATTAACTATCTGAATTCTTACTGTAATGTACTGCTTATTTATAAAATAAAAGTAGGATCGCTAAAGTAAAAAAAAAATAAAATAAAATAAAAAAATAAAAAAACTAAACTAAATATAAAATTTTTTATCCACACCAGATAGTTACAATTATAAGCCTATATCAGGCTCTTTAAAAATTACATACTACTATTTAAACTATTCTCTATACTAATTTATATACATAGTATATCTAAACTTAAAATCTTAAAAAAAAAACAAAAAAAGAAAAAAAGCTTCTTTGACATTGGTACTGTAAAAAGATCAAAAATTCATACTGTTAGGCTCAGAGTATTATTTGTTTGGGTTGTTACATTCAAGACACGTAATCCAGTTATCCATATCTCTGAATTTATGTATTTGTTGTGATAGATAATAATGTAAACAATACCACCTGATTTGGTAAGTAAACAATATGTTGATTTTTTGGAGAAGTAAGCTAAATCGCCCACTTTTACAAAATTTTCTTTGAAAAAAATAGTGGAGGACCAACGAAAGTGTATAAGGTTCTTCTATAAATTTTATAGTCAAATAGTTGTATCTTCAAGCTTATACTATTGCAGCGAGAGCTGGTCCACTACTTGCTTCTAGAATAAACCTTCTAGTTTGGATACCAAATATCTTGGAGAGTCTACCACAATACAAGAAAGCTTAACCCCAAGAAAAACCATTTAAATTACACCTGCTTCTTGGTGTTTCATATCTTTCAAGCTTCATCAACAGCAACCTGACCAAAGATAAGTTCAGTTCTCAGAATAGACCTTCTGGTTTAGATGCCAAATATTTTGAGAAGTTTACTAAAAGCAAAGATTTGATCTCAAGAAAAACCACCCAAGTTACGTCTACTCCTCAGTGTTTCATGTTTACAGGCTTTGTTGATAACTGCTTACTCAAAGTCAGGACTGCAAATAGTATATTCTTGAACCTTCTTATAGCATTTTTCTGTAATTCAGTTTTTTGTTGTATTGTCCAAAAGATCGTTGAAAAGAGTTGTGATATAAAGTTTTGCAAAATAGGTTCTACTTATATATAGTTATTAAAATAATACAAATATATATTTACAGATATTTATTTAAAGCTATCTATTATTTCTTGAATATCTACATTTTATATATCAGTATTTAATCATAATATAGTAATTAAGAATACATTAATTGAATATTCTATAAATGCTTTCTCTATTGCATGTCTAAACTATCTATCTCAAATCAAAATTTTTAAAAAAACAAAGATATAGTTGGGTATACAAATATTTATAGCTTATCATTGTTTAAACTATTTTTTAAAAATAAATAAAAAGATATTTGGTATTAGAATTTATAATATATATATTATAACCAATACCAAATATAACAAGTCATATACTAACTTGAAACATTTCTTGAACATAAGGCTTATATAAACCTTTTATTTTTTATTATTTTTCAAATCTATCTATTTTTATATTAATTAAACAAAAAATTCTATTTCTACTATTGAAGCAATAGGATCTCAGACTATATATATTATGTTCTTAAAAATGATATAATACAGAAACTTGTATTAAATAGTTTAGGATCTATATACTTTCTCTCTTAAAAACATATTATACATTTTATTTATTTTCCTTTTTATATTTATAAAAACACTATTATAGAGAGTATGATTGTCAAACTATTATTGTCTATGTAGCAAAGAGAGGAAGACCCAATAAGCTTTCTATAGTTTAGTTTACTGAATTATGGGATAAGAAATAGTTCAAATATATCTATCTCAAAACTTATTGTAAAGCAATAAGACTATATCTTTATATAAATATATTATTTTTCTTTATCTTAATTATGATCATCATTCTTAATATGAGATGTATATAAGAAAGAAGATGATACTAACTTCTAAATAATTAAACCACACCACAGAGAGTAATTAAATGTATATACCAAAAAATTTATACCTGAAAAATTTGTCTTATGACTCTTTAAATCATCTCTATAGAACTGCTTTGCAATATCTTACTAATATTTCTATATTATAGTTAATGAATAAAGTTATATTTAACTAAAATTAGATATATACTATTTTTGATTTGTCAGCATTTTAGTTGCTTTTGTGTTAATTTTCAGGTGAGAAGTTTATATATTATTGAATCTTTAATATAAGTTATTTTAAATATACAAAAAATAAATCTGGTTTTAATTGTATATATCATACCAAATCTTATAAGTCTAATAATCTTAATATAATATTTATAACTATCTAAACAGTATATCATATATATCTGAAAATAAACTACTATTTTTTGGCCAAAAAATTAACTAAAAATTTTGCAGATAGCTTATTATTAGATAAAAGATTTTTGCTAATTGCAAAAAATTTTATTAAGTAAATTGATTATATATATTAAGTAAAAGTTGTTTAGAAGATAAAAATATATTTATTCTAAAAGTTTAATATAAGTCAGATAACTTTTATTAATTGACTTTTGATTTTTACATTCGATAAATATGAATTTTAAAGAAATTTTAACAAAATTTTAAAAAATTCATTAAATATAACATGCAAAAATATATTAATAAAAAGCTATTAAATTTAAACTTTTAAAATATATATAGTTTGATTTTTTGAACAACTTTTACTTAATAAGCTATATCAATTTATTTAGTAAAATTTTGACTTTACTATAGAGTAACTACTGATGATCATTAAGTAGTTTATTTTTGGATATAAGACTTTTTTATATTTTTCTTTTAAAAAAAGAAAGTAGCTTATTAGATGTAGCTTATTTTTAGAAATATACAATAATATATTAAATTAGATTTTGTTATCTTTACTATTATTGATAAAAAAGCCAAATCAGTAAAGCTTATTAATAATAGACCAGAATATGATATGAGATATATAAAGTCATATATCTATAACTATTGTAATATTAATAATTATTAATGATTTTTTGATAATTTTTTTGAGATTGAAAGATAGTATGATACTTTATTAATTATTCAACTACACGAAACTTCAAAAAAATAGGCACTTAAAGTTTGAATTTCTTTACAAAACCTAGTCTTTGAGAAAAAAAAGTGTTTACTATACACATGCTCTATTTCTAGTATTTGGTGTCTAAATTAAAAAAGAATTTTTTCTTATATAGTTTTTATTTAAATATACTAATTATATAAATTTAGAATAAAGACTAGTTTAGATAGTAGTATATAATTTTTATCAAGCTTAATACAAGCCTATAATCATAACTATTTATGTTAAGATATCTCTTGTATTTTATTTTCTTTTGTTTACTCTTACTATTTTTTTTTCATATATATATTTTTTTATTATACTTCTTTATATTTCTATGTTTTTTTTATATAGATTTTTTCTTTTTTGAATGAGACTCTAAACAGGTAATAATTAATACTATCTCTAGTTACAGATATTAATTGCCTTACTAGTATAGTTAGTTGCATGAGAACACTTAGATGACTTTGTTATATTAAAACAGCCACATAATATCAGACTACAGTTTTATTGTTATATTGTCATTGGCAGCAACAAAACTTTAATAAACATAGATTACTGGTATAACTAGCCAATATTGCAAAAAAAAATAGTGGGAATAGCAATTTACTATAGTAAAAATAACAATTTTCTTTATTTATTATTAATTATAATTAATAAAAACCACTTTAATTTTAATTAGCAGTATTAATAAAAATTATTTGATATTTTTAAATTTTAATCAATTCTAATTAACTTTTAAAATTTTCTAATAATTTATAATTAGGTTTCTGCTTAAAAAATCTTTACAAATATAAATAAAAGATAAAAACAAAATCTTACTTTTAAAAAAAAAATAAATAAGACTTCTGTACAAGTTTATTTAAAAATACCAAATTTTAAAATTATATAATCAATTATAATTGGCTAATTTTGTAGTAATTGATCAAAAATATCTGATTTTTTTTTTTTTATATTAAATTTCAAAATTTTCAAATTATAATAAACTTTAAATTAATATTCAAAAAAAAAACAAATACAAATCTTTTTTTTAACCAAATTATAGTTTAGATTTAAAATACAAATTGGCTAAAAAAGTTTTAACAAATCATTTTTTGCAAAATATATACCATACGACGCTAATTATAATACCCCGGATACTATTCAATCAGCAATCAAATTTCTTGAACAGTACCCTCCTGAGTAATTACGAGGGAGGGTACTATAAGAGGGGCTACTTTACATAGTTTAATATTAGTTTAACAAGAATTCAAATATAAATATTATATGTACCCTAACTAGAATATCTAACTAGAATAATACTCGGGTCTTATTCAATCTTTTGAATCATGAACCCATGAATTGTATCCGAGTCTTCTTTATAGGGGATATTATAGCATAGTCAGCGCCGTACGGGTGTTGATTTATGCTGTCCACAAATACCAAATAAATCAATGGCATGACCAAAAAAATAATAATCAGAATTTACCAAGCTTATAATGATTTTTTTAGTAAATTTCAGATCAGGTTTTGTCTTTAGAGGTCATCTAAAGCCTTGTATATAGTATTTTATATGAGACACGTGACTTCTAATTTACAATCAATTAGTAATCAATTTAAAAACTACCTGGCTTTAGACTATATCCTTGTATAACAATAATTTAGATTCTTATATAAGTAAAACTTAAACCCAAAACTATAACAGTTTAACCACTGCTAGATTACTCTAACTTTAAATCAAGTTTTTATTACAACACCTATTAATATATTTTAGCAAAAATTTATGAGGGAGAATGTCTATCAGATATCCGATTTGGCAAGCACTATTTTGAACCAGATCCAATTCGGGCAAATTCTTCGATCAATTCACGTTGTTTAGGTGTCAAAGTCCTATAATATAAAAATGAGTGAGAAATTACTTTACACACATTAATTAATGCAAAAAGACAAAACGTACTTTGGCAGCGGTACTTTAAATACCACAATTTGATCGCCACGATAATTGGTTCCAACTTTTCGGATTCCTCGTGTTTTCATAACCATTTGCTGATCCGGTTGCGAACCAGCTGGGACATTTAATTCTACATCTCCATCTATTGTGGGAACTCGAATAGAACCACCTAGTATGGCCGTGTGAAACGGGACTTGAGCTTCAACAAAAACGTTGGAACCTTGCCGTTTGAATGTCTTGTGGGGTGCCACACGTACACGAACAATTAAGTCACCAGGTAAACCTTCACTATCAAATGGCGCGTCACCTTTTTTTGGTATCCGTATCCTCATTCCATCTTCTGCACCTATAATTTGAAATAAGATTTTATCACCTTTCCAACAGTTAAAAATCAAATAAACTTGACACATAAATACCAGCTGGAATATCAACAGATTCTGCTTTCCGTTCCTTTACTTGTCCTTTACCTACGCAGGTAAGGCATCTGTTTTCAGGTAATATTCTGGTTCCTTTGCCACCACATTCATCACATGTAACTTGCATACGAAAACCTGATGCAACAGATAAAGACCGCACACCCGAACCTTTACACGAAGTACACACATCACGCTTTTTTCCAGCTTTAGTACCACGTCCTTGACAAGTTTTACATGTAGTAACAGCTTCATAAAAAACACTTCTTGTAGCACCTTTAGCAGCATCCATGAAAGGAATATTCAGGGCCACCTATTTACAAATAAAAGTACACGTAAGCAAGGTTAAAAAGTGCGAGTAAATATTTGTAACCCATACCTCAATGTCCGTTCCTTGAGCATATGGCTCCCCAAATCCAGTTGACCATGCAGACCCCCCTCTAAAAACATGATCGAAAATGTGCATTGGATTTCCAAACCTGAAATCTCCAGCGAACCCATTAAAATTCGCACCTGGTGGTATATCTAATAGGAGTTTGACATTTTAATTACAACACATTTTGTACAATTTTGATGTATCAACCAACCTTTGAATGAACCCCATTTGTCATACTCTGCGCGCTTTTCCTCATCACTCAGTATCTATAATAGTTGTCCAAATTTTGTAATTTAAATTCTTTACCAAAGCGTGGACCTATTAATGAAAATATCATACATTATATGCTTCCTGAATTTGTACAAACTTTTCTTTCGCAGTAGGGTCTTTACTTGTATCGGGATGATATTTTTTAGCGAGCTACACAAATTAAAAAAATATATATTAATTTTGATAAAAATGTACGATGTTTAATTTAATATCTTACATACAGAATAATATGCCTTTTTTATATCGGATTGGGATGCATTTTTTGAAACACCAAGAATATCGTAATAATCCTTGTTTTCTTGTCTCAGAAGTGCTAATAATTTTAAAAGTAAAATATATCAGCATTATAATTGTTAGACGAAGTCATTTTATGAAGTGGAGAAAGACGAAACCAAACCTGAAAAGTGAAATCTTCTGCGAAAGAAGAAACCCTTGACGAAACCTCTGCGAAAGATAAAACTCCCCGGTGAAAAAAACATCAATAAAAATGAAATTATAAGAATAAAGTGCTATATGTAGGTGAAATCAATATGCTAAAGTGAAAGCGTGTATCGCACGAAAGATCGTCCCAAATTAGAATTTACTAATTTACACCCATTCTCTGATTGGACGATAATATCCTTGTCAATGATTGGGCAAAATTGATTACACTAGAACTTCCGGATCAGAAATAAAATATCGTTAAACTAACCTCTAACTAAACTCGATGAAATTTTTTTATTTAAGTAGAATTAAATAAAAGAATTTAGTTAGATGGCTGTCAAGATATCATTACTCAAAGTTTTGAAACTTTAAACGATATCTCAACAATTACTCGATAAACTTTTTTTATTTTAATTCTGGGAATATAAAATTTTATTAAATTTAATTAGGCGGTTGTCAAGATATCAACGCTCAAAAAACTTATCCTTATGTCAAGCAAATTCAGAGTTTCGGTCTAAAAACTTTAGGCCGAAATATATCAAAATTTTCTTATGTATTTGGTATTTTAATACATCCTATAACTAACATTTCATACTAAAGCTTTACTTGGAAGTCAGAAGTTAGTTGTAGTTAGGGTTGAAAATTACATTTTACAAACTTACATTACATGTAATTTCACGTAAGTTTCAGTAACATGGATTTCATGTAAATTTCTATATAACTAGTAATACCAGTCTAAAAAATTTCGCACGTCATGTGATTTTATTTGAAACCAATAAAAAAAAATTTCGCTAAGAAAAGAAGTTTCGTGGTTAGGTTAGGGTTAGGGTCTTGCTAAAAAGTTAGGGTTAGAGGGTCATAGTTATACCGAAATTTCGCAAGGAAAACCTAAATTTTGAGTTATGACAAAACGAACGTTTGTTTTCCTGATCGTGCAACATTACATCAGATCTTGAAATTTGATTGGCCTGCGAAATTTTTTAGACTGTTATTTTAAATGATATATAGTGCCAGCACTATGAAAATCTCAGCCTGCATTATTGAACTACAGTAGATTCTGCATAAAGTTCATTGATCAAATCGATGTACATATAGGGTTGTGTTACAAAAATTACAATTTTACATTTCATGTAATTTTATATAAGTTTCAGTAAATTGAATTTCATGTAAATTTCACACGTGATATTCTATACCAGCACTATATAAACTTTAGCCAAAATTATTAAATGCACAAATATGTTTATTGTTAAATTTATAGTATTTATAATGCAATTTTATACAATAAAAGAATCTTATTCTTCAAGACAATTATCGAATTCATGCTATCATTATCAAACATGTTAAGAAGCCTGTTTGAAAAGTCGATAAAATTGTTTTCAAGCTTTTTTTTTTTTTTTTTTTGTTTCAGCAATTCTTCCTTTATTATTTAAATCTATATAGAATACAACAAATACTGTATACTAATGTACAAATAGTGGCTAACTACGTCATAATCTATATACGCCTATACTAATAAAGAATCATTCGATCTATTTAACAAGAACTTAAATAAGTTTTGCAAGGAAGACCCAGGTGCAACCCGCCTAAGTGGTTCTTCTTTACCTCGTCTGGGATTCCCAACTTACTGAAAATTTATACCCCAAGAGTCTGCAGTAGGTGCCCACCAATTTTGTCAGGATCACTACCCTATATAACATATCACCAATCTGAAGAAAAATTCCCTAACAAAAAAATTAAAGATCAAATAGGATAAGAGAATTACGAGAAATAGGATAGTTTTAAAAGAAAACAGATAAGAAAGCAACTAAACTAAAAAGGAATCTAAAGTACTAATTATAAAACTTAAGAACTTATCTAACAAATTGGTACCTGCTAATCAGAATACTTGTCTACTTGATCGTAGTAATTACATAGAACTCAGCTAACATATAAAAGAAAACTAAACTAACTGCACTTTAACCTGTGCTAAGGGCTAAAAATTATATGTACATGACTTTGTTATTA